CCCATTTTTATTTTTTTTATTTTTTCTCTTTCATTGCCTTGTTTGTCACCGCGTCCTCAATACTTTCGCATAATTTCCTTCAACACCACGCAACCGATGTCCCTCTCGCGTTGGTTTCTGCGTGCAATTTTCACTCGTTCTCTTGCAATAAGTTTTGGAGAATTTTGGAGAACAAATGATCGTCAACGAGTGGTGAATTTCTGGCAAATTTCGATTAATTCAAAGTAACATAGAAATATAAATTAAATAATTAGTAATTTAATAATAATACCTCGACTTGATCAAAATTAAAACCCGATAACAAGCAATGGTTTACAAATTTTTCTACACAAGTGTTTACTGAATGAGAAGTTCCAATTTTTTTTTTTTTTTTTTTTTACATAAGACATCTTTCTTTTTTTTATCATCATTCTTATATTCATCGCGCAATTCTACACATCTTACAAAATTATGGAGCAACTTGTTCCTTCAGGCAAGTTCTTTCCCTCGCCGTGTCAGATATTTACATGTTCAAATGTTATTAATCAAACGTTGCGAGAGAACAAAGGAACTTCCATTGCGAGAAAAGAAGAAAACGTAGAGAAAACTCGTTAACGCGGCAACTCGTTCGGCCCATCGATCACGATCAACGTCAGCCGCGAAGCGGAGGAAGAAAAAAGAAAAAAAAATGGGGTTGTGATCGGGGCGAGGTCGTTGCAGGCGTTTCCGTTCCGATTGGTTCGCCGGCTATTTCCGGCGGGCGTCGACGCTCGACTCTTCCTCAAAGGAAGTCTCGCGCCCGCTGTTCTCCATGCGGAAAGAAAAAGGGACGTCACGTGTAGGGACGAAAACAAACTTTCTCCCTATTTTTTTTTTTCCTTCTTCGTCTTTGTTCTCCTCTCCAGGGCGGATCCGGCGGACACGACGTTGCAGAAGAGAGCTGATGCGCCCTCGGCTTGGGAGTTGTTCCGTGGTCGGTCTATTTCTGGACGTGTAAATATCGATTCGCTTGGCGGTGCTGCGCTCGTCGCCACTCCACAGGGATGAGAGGACAGTGCCGAGAGGACGAGAGGAACGAGCAAAGATGATATTGATACACGCAGGGGTAACGAGATGCGAGAGCCACCGACGTGATCGCGTTCGAGCAACGTCGAGGACTGTGAAACCGTGGAATGTTGAGTCGCAGAAAGACGTACGCACGACGTCTGTATTTCTTTGACAGGGATAGACGATAGTTTGAAAGAGTTGACGACATGCGAAGATGTTACAGTTACTTTGAGAAGTAATAAATAATGTTTGGTAGTCTCGAATAGGACAGAACTGGAGTGTTAAATTGAAAGAGAAACATTTGAAAGAGACGATAGATAAAAAGATATTTATCGTAGTTCGATCGAGATTTCTCTTGAAGAGTTGTTGGTTAATGTACAGTGTTTGGACTTTCTCTCCTTTAAATTCGACGCGGTTGAAAAGTTGAGAATTGAAATTTCTTTCTTTCTTTTATCGGGAGAAGAATTTTAGCAGCCTATAATAACAAGAATTCCCCCCCCCCCCCTCCAATAATGATCTCTGTGAATAATATTGCAATGATCTGTCGAATTTTATATATCATTCAACAGAAAATGAAGGAACTTGGAAACTTTTTGGAAAGTTTGTAGAATCATTATACGTTCTTGAAAATCAGCAAGTTTCAGAAGAGTTCAACTATAACCCTTGACCCGTTCTCTTAAAGATTCAATAAAACTCCAAAGTATCCGATAAAGTCGTGCCCTTGCGAATGGTACATCGAAAACTATTTTCTTGATTTCGTCCATCGGTTACATATATTTCTCTGTGTTAGGGAGTACTATGCCTAACGCAGCAAGAGTTGTTTGTCAAACTAAGAGAATAAACGATGGAAAAACGGAGCGAATACGACAAGCGAAGTTTAACTTCCAACTCTAACATTCTCAGTTTGTATTTGATAAAGTATTTCGTAAAGCACTACGTATTTTAATATTACTTTACGTTTTCATCATTACGTTATTTAATCGTGCTCTTTATGAAATTTCTGAATTTCAACAGAATCATGGAATTTTACAAGTCACAGCACGAAGAAACTTTCTTAACAGCAATAAATAAACTTGATAACAAAGCGAGTGAAGTATTGCAAGTAGATTTTGCAAAAACTACCGATCGTTACGTTAATTTAACAGTACGAATAATTTAATTTCCAATAAGAATGTCGCGAATGTACAAAAACCTTCGTCGTTTGTATTTGTTATTTAGATATGAAAACTATCATAAAAATCTGAGAAACTGTTTCAACGTGAAAAAGTCAGTTTCAGAGAAAAAAAATCAAGTTGAGTTGTTTCAGTTCATCTCGCGAAGAAAATACATCCCCCCCCCCCCCTAAAAAAACTGCTCCTTGAACATCACTCGAATAATAAATTGTACAACTGAATATTCGCGAATAATTTATACAACAACGAACGATACGACACGATCCTCTTTTTACGAATTATCTGTTCAGGCATTGAAGTATTCGTACGAACGGAACCTGAACTTTCGCATATCACGTTCAACTTTGAACCTCGCCTGTCTGGATATCGAGAGGCAACGCCAGTGATGCAAGATGATTCACTTAAAGGGCTTGCCGTTCAACATTGCAACCTATGGTCAAAGCGATCAAGCGATCATCGTTTCATAGGCACATCGCCGGGAATTTAGATGGAGCTAAATCCAATGAGCGCCGGCGTCGTTCTGAATAAACATTCGATCGGGCCGATGAATAATTCCTGATCGTTTCCGGTCGGTTCGGCGATAAAGAATTCGTTAATCCTTCTCGCCGACGTTCGCTGCAACGTCGTTGTCTATTATTCAGTGTTCTTCAAACTGAATTTTCCGGAGTTCCACTACTGCGACCTCTACTCGAATATTAACAGCGAACATCCTGATTCGAATGTCATAAATTTCCAGAATTTCCTCGGAATTTCTTCGAGAAGTGCAATCGAGAAAATCGGAAAGAGGTCTGCGACCTTTCTGAAATATGCGCATTTTGTGAACTTTGAGAACGTCAGAGTTTCCAGAATTTTGCACGAACATCGACATTAATCTAAAAATCGTAAAATCGAATAACTCCCCCTCCAAAAAATCGACAAAAATAGGGAAACGAGGGCTTTCCAACGGATCGATCAGTTTGTAAAGAACTAGCTAAACACGCTAGGCCCATAATAAAAGAGGCGAGGCTAACCCGCTACAGCGTATTGATTATTCACCGCGCTCTTTCCTCTCGCGACTATGTTTCATCGCGCGATCCATTCCTACGGTTTTCGAGTCACGAGGCCTGTTCACGTGTTCACGGAATGTTCAGGGGGCTGGTTAAGTACCCAAGGCTGGATTGAGGGTGAAAATTTCAAGCGGCGCGCCGATCGCGGGTAAACGTGTGGGTTGATTGCTCTCCCGGGGAAATCTGCTCGATTTACTCAGCAGTGCTCGCGCGCGTTTTACTATAGCTCCGTTTGCGATCCATTCGTCGAGGTTCGTGAGGTTGAAAAATAGGCAATGTACGTTCTCGATCTTCGTCGTGATTTTCGCAATTTTTCTTTCCCGATTTTCTGTCATTATACATGAAATTATATATATATTTCGAGCGATTAACTTTAGAAGCGTCAAACGTCGTGTGTTTTTCTTTTTTTTTGTGACGGCGATCTTTATCGTGACATCTGCAATTTCCAAGAAAATCTTTTTCTTTAATTTGTTTAATTTGTTTTTGACGATACGAAATTAGTCCTGAAGCGATTGGCTTGATAACAATGAACAGTGTGTAAACACTGTTGCACAGTGATCGTTTCCAAAAGTCAGTTTGTCAATGCCTTTGTTCTCTCTTAATTATATAAATGAAGTCCAATTACGAAAATATTACTTTGCAATTAATTATATTATGAAGTCCAATTACGAAAATATTACTTTGCGGCACGTTAAAACTGAGAAAAGAAAAAAATGAGACAAACTAGGATTGTGCTCTGCATTTCTGTAGAACGACCGATGCCAGAATATTTGAACGAATCTCTGTTTAGAGTAGAAACACATAAACGTAGTCTTTCAATATGCTCGGAGTAAACAGCAGCTGCAATTTCCTGCATTTTGTATCTTTACGACCGAGAGGTGCTAATCTCATGAGCAGACGTATTAATTCTAAGAGTATCATACAACCGCACATCTATAATAAAGCTGGAATTCGTTATCTCACGAGCAACGACTTCACTTAGCAGACCGAGAAAAATAACAAAATCACAAGGAAATAAAGGGGGAAAATGTCAGACAGCTTTTCGAAGATTGTCAAAGATCATCGACTTACAGTAACTTGTGAAAGTATTTGAAGATTTGTAGAAATTTTATAGATTATGTCTTAAAAATTGTATTAATAAGTACAATAGGAAAGTGATGATTATCCTAACTTACATGCGTCGTATCTGTCGAAATATTTAAATCAGGAAATGAATGATTTTGAATATTTCATGAATCTTAATTAACCTGTTCACGTTTAGAATATTAGCATTTTAATTAAAATATAAATGAATCGAAAATGTGAGCAAATAAAACGTATTTCTGATTACAATTATACTCCTTAAATACAAAAGACATTGACATCTCTTTAGAATCTGTGCAACTTCAACTAATTATTGCTAAAGTGTTTAAAATCCTTGTTTTCTTGAAATATCTGAAATTTGCAAATGTGTGTAATCTTTCGTGATTATCTATAGAAGATATGATCTATATATAGATTTTCATCAGTATGACAATTCTAAATATTAAAATTATAAATAACATTTATGTCTCTCTCTCTCTCTTTTCTCCAATATTTTACAAAATCCAACAGCAAAAGGTGAATGTACTCATTACATAATCTAATACGTATATGTCCTTCAATAAAAAAAAAAAAACTTAATGTATTCATAAGAATTTTCCACGCTAGCTTCAAACACTTTCTGCGAGTCACTGTAGATTCAATTTAGCTGTCAAAAGAGAAACTTTAATCTCACCTTGTCTAGATTGATTTTAGTGGCGGGAAACCATTTGCCGACGAACACGACGACCGGTCGACCCTGACGATCGACACCGCTTTGATAGAGGCAGCCAATTCCTGAAACTTCCGACAGATCTTCCGTCTTCGCCCTTCTGAGGAGCCTCTCGTACCTGAAACAACCGAACAACAGTCACTTTGGTGATCGTTCGAGGAACATACACTCGCCATACTATGTTTCATCGACTGTAGAGGCAAAGTTAAAAAAGGTAAAATATTGACGGAAACCTGTCACATTGTCTTACATCGTTCAGTTACAACGTGTCTTTTCCTTGAAACGAGAAAGGAAATTTGTTATTCAGTTATTTGTGATTCAATTGTTGCGTGTGTTTCATTGATGCGTGGAAACTTTTGAAATGTTTTTAGATTTTAATTCTGAGAATTTGACTAGAAATGAAAATTGTATTTCCTCCAAAATTTATTAATTATACAGAACTGAATCTTGAAATATAATCTTTAATTTAAATGTTTCTCGAAAATAACTCGAAACCAGTTGCATTTTCCTCGAAACAGATTTCATTAATGGATCGAAATATTGGAAAATGCCAAAATAGACGTTGAAATTATGATCGTTATTTTAAATTTCTCTCGACTGAATTTTTGAATAATTGATGATATCAATTACGAGCTAAATTTTTGTTAGTAATTGACTGTCAGAATGAGTGAACGATGTTATCAAATTTTTTAGAATGATGAAACCAAGACGAATTTCGTCGACTGAAAAATAAAATGGGAATAAATTTATATAAATTTAATTTATATATATATAAATATATAAAAATATTTAAAATATTATATATAAAATATATAAAATAAAAATTAAAAAATATATACATATAATATATATATATATATATATATATATATATATATATATGATATATGAAATATATGAAATATATAAAAATATTATATATAAAAATATATAAAAATATTTTTATATAAATTATGCTTGTGTTCATATTTTATTAGCACCGAGTACGCAGTTTGCCTATTGCAAATATAATTATTTATATTTATGCAAATATAATTAAATATTTAATATCAAATGTTTAAGTATTTAATTTTCCTATATTTTTATATAAAAATATATAAAAATATTGAAAATATATATAAAAATATAAGAATATTAAATACTTAGACATTTGATATTAAATATTTAATTATATTTGCATAAATGTACGCAGTTTGCCCATTGCTACTCGGTGCTAATAAAATATGAACACAAGCATAATTAAAGTATTAATAAAACATAAATAGAAACACATTTCACAAAATAAATTTATATAAATTTACGTTGCAATACGAACACTTTCGGAGAGAAAATATAATATTTCGCAAAAAAATTAGAATTGAAAGTACAAAATCATCAAAACTTAGAAATGGCGCGTTTCATACGTGATATGAGAATCACTTGATCCCTGGAAAAGAAGGTAAATTAATCAATCAAAACGATTGATGCTCGCGCAAAGAAGTTCTAAATATTTGGAAATTGCGTACGATTATTTAAATCACGTTGCGTTAACAATTATCTTACACTTTGCAACACGTTCGACGTCCAATGTTTGTTCAATGCATCATACTCCTGCAAATATATATATTTTCGCGATCGTAACTTTGAAACGGGCAACGTTCGTCTCTAAAGACAATAATCTTACAGTTTTCTTCGCCTTTGTTTTAAACACAACAGAGAGGCGGAGAATTTGAAAACGAAAGGTCCAGTGGAATAAAATTTATCGAACGATAATACACACGGAGTATCACGAGAGTTGGAAATCTCGAAAACCTCGCATCCTCGCGATCGAATATTCACGAAACGAATCGAATATTCATCGTCGTCTTGCTGGCGATTCAAGTTTCAATTCATTAGCCGAGTCTCGTGGAAATCGAATTTCATGGAAAAATCGCTGGCTGTAATTTTCGTCGCAAATTTTTACGTTCGTTACCCGGATTGAAAGTTTCTTCGTGAGAAAAAGGAACGCGAAATGTGATCTAAATATCGTGTCTGGAATATCGACGTCGTATCACGTAGCGTTAATCGCGGCATACGAGGAGAGCGTGCGGTTTCGCGAAAACATGCGAACCACTGGATAGCAATCTCGCAGCACGAACCTCGCGTATAATCCTCTCAGTGTGAATTCTCGTAATTAAAAAATTCTATAATGCCGACCTTGAGAACACAAACTACGCGCGTACGAGCTACTTTGATAATGAGGATTTCGCAGAACGGCGTCCGGGATTCGGCAAATTTTATTCGCCTTTGTTTTAAACACAACAGTGAGAGAGGCGAAGCGATTTCGTATTATTTTAAATTTAAATTAAAGAAACGAATTTCATTACGTCTTATTTCCGAGTAAAAATTATTGAACATCTACTCTGTTCCAGAGACGATTAAATTTCACGATTGACAATACAAATTTCAAAGCAGAAATTATGATCAATTTGTAAATTCTATATTTGAGCTTCGCTATAGCGAGGTTCACGATGTAAATTCAACAAAGAAGGAAACGCGATAGCGCGAATTCCAAAAGTAAGATGAAATTCACTAAATAAATTTCATGATTTAAATCTTCTGGTAATGGAAATTTATAGCAGGAATTTCATGAAACAGATAACGTTCACAATGAGAACCTCCGTAGTACATAGCTCAATGTTTATAACATGAGGTTGACAGTATAAGGTGCGACAAGTTGACAGAAACGCTAGACTTGCGATGTGAATTTCACATTGCGAAGTTCGGAACAAAGAGCTTACAAAATATTTATAAATTCATCTATTTATAATTTACAATTTTAATTTATATACATATACATATAAATTCAATATATCAAAATTCAAGATTATGAAGTTTACGATATATAAATTCATGAATTTCTCCTTTTTAAAATGCAAAGAACAAAGAACGAAAATCACTGCGTAAAATTATAAAATTCATTCATTCCTCGTAGAACTTTCAACACTTATAGTACAGGTATGAAATACAAAACAGAATCTGGTTCAGAGTATGCAAACTGGAACAATTGAATTCGCAGAAAACATTGCTACAAATTCGTATAATTCCCAGACTTCAACATCAATAAAGCGAATTGTTTCAAGTCTACGAAAATAAAAGCAGTTTTTCGTTTTACAAGCGAGCAATGATAAATGCTTTAAGGAGGGGACTGAATTACTCTCCCAACATCAAAGATTCTTGCAGTTACGAAACGTAACAGTATGCAAAGCCACTCCGATTACAGAAACGATACTTCAAACCAGAAATCTTCGATTACATCAGACGTATCCAGTAACGAATCACGGACTTGGCGTATTTTATCGAGTGTCGCGAGAGTAATCCTAACGCGTCGGAACAAATTCACGACAAAACGTTTCGCTTAATCGACCTCTTGGCTCGAGCAGTACCATTTCACCGACACGCGACACACAGCCGTTTCGTCGCGTAGCGTCGCGCGTGGACGCGTCCATGAATATTCCATTCGGCGAAAATCAATGAGCACGTTTCACGTGCGCTTCGCGAAAACGTTTCGCCCAACGTTGTTTAATCGAGCCACGATTGAACGTGGTTTGTCCAAAAGTAGCGGATTTTCCCCCTCGTCGACGAAACGAAAGTTTCGACGTGATTTTTTTTAACTTTTTGTTTTTGTTTTTTTCTTTTTCTTTTTTTCCCGCCAAACCAAAACTGGTTTCGAGGTCGCGACACCAACCACGCACGCAAGACGAAGCTCGTTCGGATACTACTGGCTCGCGAAAATATTTGAACGTTCATCGCGGGGGACTTTAATACGATACAGTTTGAAATTTTGTTAGCAGACTGCGGATTCTTGTTCGTTCAAAGGGGAAAGTTTTATATGATACAGTTCAAAATTTTGTTAGCAGACTGCGGATTCTTGTGCTTCGTTCAAACATGAGAAAAACGTGCAGAATGTATATGATTTGTAAAAATATGAAACTAGAGTATTTAACGGATAAAACTTTTCGTCTATTAATAACTTTCTTTTAAACACATTGTATATAAAAATATTTAAAATATTATATATAAAAATATATAAAAATATTTAGAATATTATATATATAAATATATAAAAATATATAAAAATAAATATTTAAAATATTATATATAAAAATATGTAAAAATATTTAAAATATTATATATAAAAATATGTAAAAATATTTAAAATATTATATATAAAAATATATTTAAAAAATATATTATACATAAAAATATAGGAAGATACATACATACTTTGATATTAAATATTTAATTATATTTGCATAAATATACGCAGTTTGCCCACTGCTACTCGGTGCTAATAAAATATAAACACAAGCATAATTAAAGTATTAATAAAACATAAATAGAAACATATTTCACAAGCCGCTTGTATATTTCGATTAGAGCTGACAGTGTTCCGCATTGTAACGACGATTCGTGTCTGACAATGGACTGTCGTATACTACTGGCGGAGCGCAGCTGTTTCTTTAATTGTTACGTCTCCTATTGTCTCTTTAGTGACATCTTCTCACCAGAAACACGTTCGACTATTGTTCTCCTGTTTTCTGCCATGAAAAGTGAGAGTGAACACGAACGAGTTTCCGCGAGTTTAACGCGTGATCATCTTGCTACGCTCTTCTTGAATTAGCATCGTTAACGCAATTGATCTTCCACAAGGCATAATTAGAAAATTTCTAATGCGAGATTAAAGAATGAAAATTCAATTAGATAAATCTTCCTGCGAATTTTATTTTAATGCCGTCAGGAAACTGTGTGTGTGTGAGTGTGTGTTCATGCAAATTTATATTTTTATAAACAGGTGTTATTTATAAATGTAACTCATGTAAATAAATACTGTAACGGATACGGATTGTTATATATATATATATATATTTTTTTTTTTTTTTTAATTAGAATAAGCTAGAATTGCAACAAAAAAAAAAAAAAGACTCAAGTCACGTTACGACGAAATAAACAAAAAAAGAAAAAACGAAATACACGAGAAATGATTCAGGTTGGTGCGAATTAAAAATTTTTCACGGTTATTAGGTCACCGTGAGCAATCATGATAGAGCCACGTTGATCGTCCAAGATTCCGTCAACGGTCGATACGATTTTCCTCCC